ACAGCCCACCCGAGACCCTGCACAGCCCACCCGAGACCCTGCACAGCCCACCCGAGACCCTGCACAGTCCACCCGAGACCCTGCACAGCCCACCCGAGAGCCCACAGAGCCCTCCTGAGAGCCCACAGAGCCCTCCTGAGAGCCCACAGAGCCCTCCTGAGAGCCTGCAGTGCCCTCATGAGAGCCTGCACAACCTCTGGCAAGCCCGCACAGCCCATTTGCAGTCCTCTATCGCTGGTGGTATTCTGCATTGTTGTGTAATGTATTGCTGAGATTTGTAGTTCATCTACAGCTTGGAGCCAGTGACAGAACTACAGTGACAGAAATGCAAATTGGCTATTCGCTTTGCAAGGTAATTTGCACTTTGCAGGGGAAGTTTCCCCTTGGCTTAATGAATGAGGTGAAGCTCTGCTGACTTATCTCCCAATCATGTGCAAGCCCCTATGCCTCATGTAATACAACAAATCTTTAGTGGATACTATATTTTCAGCCTAGAGTGGGTCAGAATCACTTTAACATTTTAGATGTTTCTTTGTATGTATTTGCATGTTTTTTTTAGATTAAATATTGTTACATATATAAATTGATACATGTTTGGAATTGTTTTGCTTTATATTGGAATCTCCTTAAGGGGGGGAATTTTTTTTCTTTTTCATTGAATATTTATGAAGGAGACACCAAAGAGCTTAATTTAAATATTTAAACATATGCTTAGCCCCCAACCCCATTTGTATACAATACAAAAAATCATGTTTCTCCCTAAAAGTAGATGCAGACTGGAATTGCAGGCTGACGTTAACCCTTTCCCTGCCACTGACATACGGTGGCACACAACTGTTTCCAGCTGGCCATACGTCAGTGGTTTTCACCCTTCTGCTATAAGCTTTTTTTTTTACAGTTTTGCGTTCCTTTGTTTTTTTATCATTTCGCAAAAAGGAGCAATTTAAAATGTACTAATATTTGTTATTTATTAACTCAATACAGTGTTTTGTGTGTGCGTACTGATTTCAGTGTGCTTTTATCGATTTAATTGTATAGTTTTATCAGTTTAATATTGATTTAATAAACATTTGCGCAATTATCGCAAGATCTACAAAATTGGTAGCACCATCTTTTTATTCTACCGGTCCTGTGCTTTCAGGAAATGTATGGTTTGGTTGGTCTTTTACAAACTCTAATAGCAGCAGTGGAAAATTAAAAAAAGTGAAAAATTGCAAAAATTGGTCTGGGCAGCTGAAGTAAAAACCATTACACAGGGCTTAGGAGCGTAAGGGTTAACATGATCTACCAGGACTCCATCAATGAATCAACCAGTTTTAATTGCCCTGGATTATATAATATGTGCATGTTCAAGACTTTACAGTTATCAGTAATCCCCTTTCTCCTTTATTTCCCAAATTTTTTTTAAGCAAGTTAAAAAGTTACTACTTACTACCTTAGACCAATAAGGGCTAGTTCACACCACAAACAGTGCGTTCTGGCCCAAATCGGTGCCGGAATGCACTGGGTCGCATCCTGGCCGCCGTGCGATCAGCCTCATCGGAACACATGGCACATCAATGCCTGCGTTCCGGTCTGGTGCGGTTTAAAAACAATTCTGCACTTGAGTATAAATCTGCACTTGAAAGGGCAAAATAACCATTTGCCTGTTTCTGGTGCACAGAGCGTTAATGTTTGAACAAGAGAAAATTGTGTTTTCTGCATCAACTAGTTGTTTCCAAAATGAGGAGTCTGCATTCTTCAGTAAATCTAATTTTCCTATCTTTGTGTGAAACATAAGACCTTGAAGCTTTCCAGCTAATTTCCTTCTTTGTAGCTGTTCTTTGGTCCATGTTCTTATAATTAGTTTTGTATATGTGTATGTCTTTCTATTGGCTTACATTTCGCTCCTTTCACTGTCCACTGTCCATATAATCTTTTGTTTTAACAATAAACCTTTGAATATAGAGTAAATACACTGTTTTGTGTGCTTCTGTATTCCCAAGTACTTGTCTGAAGGTGGCAGCATGATTGAATCCCAGGAAACCAAAATCGAGTTAAGTCCTACCAGGAGACATGGGTTTATGTTCCACTACTGAGGGTTCAAGTCCACTCAGAGTAACTTTCCCATGGGTTAGAGGCCCATTATTGGGGGTTAGAGTCCCTGCAGTGCAACTTTCCTGAGAAACCCTAACTGCACTCATAACTCTGAGTTTAATCATTTACAGATTGGGTTTTAAAGCCTATAGACATTCACTTACACATTACTGTAGCCATGTGTAAGAAACTGACTTAATTGCTTTAGCAATTTACAAATATACTGCATCCACAGCCATCCCCCTTTGAGGTTCAGACAGAAAAAAATATATACCTGAATGAACTCCAATTCGTATCCAGACGGGCAAACCTGGCAAATGACGTAGTTCAAAAGTTCCCATAAAACTAAGGATATCCAAAGCCATCCTGGATATATCCACTGCATGTCTGTTTCCATTTCGATTTGGAAGACCACTGACCACCATGTAGGCATCTCCTATTGTTTCCACCTAAAAATGTTAGGACAGAAATATTTAAAGTGGCACTAAACTCAAATAAAGAAAAAATCATTTAGATGAATACCTTTATTGTTATCTATTTGTGTCGCTTATAATAGCTTCTGAAAGCACATCCTTAACTACTTGAAGACCAGGTGTTTACACCCCCTTCCTGGCCAGGCCATTTTTTAGTATTCAGCACCGCAGTACTTTGACTGACATTTATTCAGTCATGCAACGCTGTGCGTTATATAAATTACAGAAAATGTAGATTTTTTTTTTTACATTGTTAGGAAACAATTATTATTAACCAATTTTTGGTAAAATATAAAAGACTGGGTCACATTGGGTAAATTGACACCAAACATGTCAAGCTTGAAAATTGCGCACACCTGCGAAATCGCAAAAAACTACCATATCCAAAATTGACCATAGGTGACGGTTTAAAAGCTTTTACTGCTCATTAGTTTGGTGTAATCAGTTATTTATGGCCCTAGAATTATTGCTCTCACTACGACGTTCACGTCGATATGTAACGTGAGGCGTAATGGGCGCAATCAACATTTGCGCACGTATGCACACCCGACGCATGTTTGCATGCGTGTATGTATGGGTGGGGACTTTTTTTTTGTATAATAAGTTTTTATTAAAGAACAGATGAAAAGACATAAACACAAAAGCGGCTCAGGTTATAGGTGGGGACTTTTACAAAAATTAGTTTTTTTATTCTTTTTCATGTGTGACAACTTTTGTTTTGCAACTTTAATTTTTTTTTTCCTATTTTTTTTTTTCACATGGGGACTAAGAAATCCTCTATGTGATAGCTAAAGATGTGACAGGTACTCTTTATGGAGACATCAGGGGTCTCCAAGACCCCTGCCACCTAGGGACCCCCAAAGAAGCTGATGAAGCAGAGATCTGCATCATCAGCCTTTCTCCAGCTTCTGAAGCAGGAGAGTGACACAAGAATGCGGACGTGATGTAATATACATCACTTCCGCATTCTGACACCAGAGAGGAGACTGGAGGGAGACCGTGTACCGATCTCCCTCTGATCCCCTGTCACAGAGGCACCATGCTGGTCCCAGGCTCGCACCAGGAACAGCGGAGTGCGGGACCAGAGGAGGGGGGGGTGCGCACAATCTCATTGTCAGCATCAGGACCTTGTGGTCCATCCCACAAGGCCCATCCTTGTGGGATGGAGTCAGAAGTAAATAAAGGGAAACACATGCGCAATTCATGCAGTAGGCGCAGAAACATCTGGGTTTACTAGTTAGATTGAAAGTGCACGGAACAGCAATATACGTGTACTGTTCACACCCACAGGCAGAAATCCATCTCCAGAGAGAAAACATATTGCACCTAACAATGGTATATTAAAGATTTTGGCACAGTTTTGACATGTCATGCTTTTTTAACTGTATGCTGGAGTGAGACATGGATTTGACAAGTTTTGCTTAATGATGCTTTACGGTAGATATAATGCACAAGAGCACCTGTTTTTGCAAGAAAAAAAAACTAAAGAACATGAACTGCAAGTGAAAGGCATCCCATGCATACGTTTAAGGCCTACCTCCTCTTTCAGTGGGGCTGCTCGGGCTCTGCAAGGGTTAACTGCTCGTTTAGGTCTAGGGTACCTGGGTAAAGAGGTGATTCTTATCTGATCCCCACTCCCCTGGCAGTTGGCGCTTTCCTGGTCTTCCCTGCGCTCTGGCTTGTGGACTATCCTTCAAGGTCCTAACATATAATTTAGAACAAAGGGCCCTACATAGTACTGATGAAGCCAGTGGACCTCTGACCACTGGAGTGTAGGGGAAGAGGCTGCGATTGCCAGTTCTGGACCCATAAGGGAGCCTGTGGGTAAGTAAAAGTCCTTTGTCGAGGTACCATAGTCCTTAACTATCAGTTAACCCTTGCAGTGTTGGGGCAACCCCATGCAAGGGGATTTTTTCCCCAGAGAAATGCTTTAACTACAGTGTAGAAAAGCACTTAACCAGTTTAGGACTGTGAACAGAAATAAATCAGGGTATCACATACCTGAGGCTGAGACCAGAAGACTGGGATGCATCTCTTGTGACTCGTGTCCTGCGACCCCTGGAGTTGGGGACAGGAGGACACAGGGCAACAAGGAGCATGAGTGCCACAGGCTGGAGACAGACACCGTGCAGTAAAATCTTCGTAGGGAGGTCAGCAAGCCAAAGGTCAGATCCAGCCGAGCAGCGAAGTACAAAATCAGTAGACAAGAGCACATCCAGAGAACAGGCCGGTGTCAGGGGCTGGCAGCAATCAGAAGAGTAGTCCAGGGCAATCCAAGTCAAGCAGGTCATGAGTGGAAAACAGGAACACCGGTAACAGGTGTGGCAGTGCATGGCAATGCCACTGCGTTATCTCCATTCCTGTGTCCAGAATCTGAGTGGCCAGCGCATGCTGATGGCACAGGTGTGCACAGCCTTTAAATTAAAGTTGTTGGGAAGGGTTCAAGACTCCACCTGGGAGACAGGAAAGCTCCACCCAGGAGTCAGAGTGGAGTCCAGTGCAGCAGGGTGCTGCGGATTGGGAAGAACCCCCAGTGTGCAGGTTAGCACATTACTGAGGCTGTCTGGAGGAACAGACAGTGGGCTGAGGCCGGAGCAGCGGTGCTGCAAATGCAAAGCCAGGAGGCTGGATGGGCATGTGCTGCCATGAGATGCTAAAGAACCCCTGCGAGGGTAATTGTTATGTTTGGTGAACTTTCATTTAATAAAAGTGGGCAAGGAAGCCCTTGAATGAAGATTGCAGCGAGTGGATGCGTCCTTAATGCGCTACCATTGGAAGCTAAACCCCACACAGGCAACACAAGCTGACAAGACCATCAGCAATAAGAGGCAGGCAGGCTCATCCTTATATAGTCACTGAATTAAGGCAGCTACCTCACTTCCTGTGCGCCATACGTTCGCGTGTCTTTCTGCGTAGCTCGCGCATGCGCACTATGGTGTGTTTCCCGCGATTGTTCCTTTGCGCATGCGCGGCCGTAATTGTGCCTTTACAATGCCCCCCCTAATGGGCAACCCCTGGATGCCCAATCGAGCAGCTTTGAGAGGGCGAGTCCGAAAAAACTTCTGAACAAGCCTGGAGGCATGAACATTGGAGTCCGGTTCCCAAGAGTTCTCTTCAGGGCCATAGCCCTTCCACTTAACCAGGAATTGAAGGGGGTCGCCCCGTCATCTGCAATCCACTATAGTCTCCACCTCGAACTCCACCACACCATCAACGACAGAAGGAGCCAGAGGGCCAGGGCCGCGGCCAGAAAAAGGATCCGGAACATGTAGCGTGAGCAGGCAGGGACACATGGAACACTGGATGCACTTTAAAAGATTGAGGCAGATCCAATTCGTAGGCCACAGGATTAATCTTCCTCCGAATCCCAAAGGGACCAAGGAACTTCGGGGCCAGCTTCTTAGAGGGGCAAGAAATCCACAAATTAAGGGTAGATAACGACACGCTATCCCCTGGATGGAGGTCCAGCTCGCCCCTCCTCTTCCGATCAAAACAGGCCTTGTGGCCACGCTGAGATTTGGCGATAGCAACCTGCAACACCCGGGCGTTGGAACGCAGAAACTGCATTCGTTCTTGGACCACCGGGACCTGTGCGGTGGAGCAGAAGGTAGGCAAGTAGGCGGGATGAAATCCGAAGTTCGCAAAGAACGGAGACTGGGCAATGGCGGAATGAACATAATTGTTGTAAGCGAACTCCACAAAGGATACCCAGTCATCCTGAGAAAAGGAGAGGAAGCATTGGAGGTACTGTTCCAACGTCTGATTGGTCCACTCCGTCTGGCCATTCGTCTGTGGGTAGTAAGCCGTGGAGAAGTGGTTGGCAACCCCAAGAGACTTGCACAATTCTCGTCAGAATTTGGAGGTGAACTGGACACCCCGGTCAGAAACAATATTGCTGGGAAGGCCAAGGAGGCGCACAATTTCCCTGAAGAAGGTCCGAGCAGTATCAAAGGCGGTCGGCTGCCAACCATTGGGACGAAGTGCGTCATCTTGGTGAGGCGATCCACAACAACGAAGATGGAGGTGAGGCCTTCCGAAGGCGGCAAGTCAACGATAAAGTCCATGCCGATCATATCCCACGACCGTAGCGGGATGGGCCGCAACAGGCCCCAGGATCGGCAACATTCAGTCTTGTTAAGGAGGCAGGTGACACAAGAACGGACATAAGACAGGCAATCCCTCCTCAAACCCGGCCACCAGAAGGACCGCCGCATCAAGTCAACCGTCTTGCGAACTCCGAAGTTGCCAGCCAGTCAATGATCATGACCTATCTGGAGAACAAAGAGGCAGACCTCGGGAGGCACAAACACCAAGTCACCCAGAAAAAACAGCCCCTCCTTCTCCTGGAAGTCCAGATTGGTGGGTAACGTCGTCTTGGAAGATGCATGTCTCAACTGGGACCCCAAATCATCCTGCAAGAGCAGGAAACTGTGAGCGGGCAACACTCCAGCAGGCGGACTTAATTCCTCCACTTCCGGGTACATGCGGGACAAGGCGTCGGGTTTGACATTTCTTGACCCCAGACGGAAGGTGATGTGCAGCGAAAAGCGAGAGAAAAACAGCGCCCATCTGGCTTGCCGAGGCCGAAGACGTTTTGCTGACCGTAGGTACTCCAAGTTTTTATGATCAGTAAAGACCAGGATCGGACGGGCAGCCCCCTCCAGCAAATAACGCCATTCTTCCAGGGCGTACTTTATCGCCGGTAGCTCACGATCACCCACGTCATAGTTCCGTTCCGCAGGGGTAAGCTTCCGGGAGAAGAAGGCCACAGGGTGAAGTAAGGACCTTTCGCCCTGCCACTGGGAGAGGATAGCCCCAACAGCAACCTCTGAGGCATCCACCTCAAGGACATATGGAAGCACTGGGTCAGGGTGCTTTAAGATAGAGGCAGAGGTGAAGAGCTTCTTGAGCTTGTCGAAGGCCATCTGGGCTGAAGGGGTCCATTGGAAACGCATACCTTGTTTGGTAAGCT